CACGTCTGCGTTGTTGGATCTTAAAGTACCTTTTATCGTCTTGGACGCGGGGACTATTATTTTACAATAGCAGAAATGTCTGGAGTAGTTGTCTCCACTGTTGCAGCCATTACTGAAATACTTATCTATGGAATGCAGACAATCATTAGTCCATGCTTACGTAACTTCAAGGCTGGATTATTGCCATAGTATATTATATGGGTTACCTAAGTACCAACTATCGAAATTACAACACATACAGAATATGGCAGCCAGGCTTATAACGGACACAATGAAATTCGATCATATTAAACCGGTACTTTACAACTTTCATTGGCTGCCAGTAAATAATTGTATTCAATTTAAGATCTTGATTACTTTAAAGGCGATTCATGGCATGGCTCCTAGTTATTTAAGTAATCTGATCTGTATCAGATCATCGTCTAGGTATTCATTGCGCAATAATGATACAATATTTTTAGAACGCCCAAAAGGAACAGCTTGCCTGCTCACATCTGCACGATTGATTCACTAGCGCTATTTAAGAAATCTCTCAAGACCTATCTTTTTAAGCAAGCGTTTTAGATTCGCATTACAATCTTATCGGTATTTTGTAGCTTATTTATTTACTTTTTATTCATTCATTCTTTCATTATGTATTCATTTACTATCATTATTTTATTTTAGTATTGTTATTGTAATTATCTATTGTAAATAGCATTTTTATTGTAATTATCTATTGTAATATTAGTTTTCTTGGATTGTAAAGCGCCTTTGATCATCCCATAAATGTTAAAGGGTGCCATATAAGTAAATAAATTATTTATTTAATAAATTATTTAATTATTTACTGAGGATGTGTGTGAGGTCATTATAAACAATCTTTGGAATGACAGTGTCGTTAACCATTTTCCAAAGAATGAACAAGCTTTTAGAGAAAAGATGCTTGATATGGAACAGATGTGGCAGTTCCCTTGCTGTTGGTCAGCAATTGACGGATTTCACATCTCTATTAAATAAAGTAAAGTAAACTTTATTCACACAGGGTAGCCCATTCAGCTCTATGGCTGGTATCCATAGGGGCCCTGTTTCTTAAAAATAATTTACATCAAAATTCTCAATTATATATATACTTGACTAGAATTTTAAAACTACATTAACAGCCTAAGACTACAAAGCCAAAACACAATTAAGACCTAAAATATTAGATAAAATATCAAAGTTAAGACAAAAGTAATGTCTTGCTTGGCAGCAGAACGTTTGAATGTTTTCACTCTTCACAATGTTTAAAGGGAGTTTAATAAAAATTTCTGCGCCAGTAAAAAGTAAGGTCCTTTTCCCAAAATTTTGTTTTACTTTTGGTAGGGATAGCCTCATACTTTGCCTTGTGAAATAATTGTGAACATTCCAAATCTGATAAAATATGATGAAAAGTAACTAGGAACTAATGAGTGAAGACAGAGAAAAACGAGTTTAACTTTGTGGTAATAGCGTCTACTGGAAAGAGTCGGCCATTGCAGCTGCTCTATTGCTTCAGATGAGCGAGAGCAACGTGTAATAATCCATGCAGATCTATTTTGTAAGCGCTGTAGTCGATCTATATCTTGCTGTAGAAGGTTACTCCAGGCAATGTTACAGTAATCAAATAAGGGAAGAATTAAAGCATTATGAACAAGTGTTGCTGCCTCTTTTGTGACGAATCTTCTAATACGGCCCAGAATACTAACTCTTGACACCACCTTCTTACACACATAGTCCGCAAGAGCTCCCAAGTCATAAAATTGTCGAACACCACGCCTAGGTATTTAAAAGAAGTATCGCAAGATATGGACTTTCCGAGAAGATTAAGATTTAAGATACAATCGCGCCCTTTATGCCTTCGAGATGTAAATAGTACACACTTAGTTTTTGAAACATTGAGAATAAGACTGTTGTCTTCTAGCCATTCAGATAGACACTGAAGATCTTGGTTAATGTAAAAAGTTAAATTGTCTACTGTTGGGCCAGCAAGATATAAAACTGTGTTGTCAGCGTACATATTTACAGAACAGTGTTTGACACAACGTGGTAAATCATTAATGTAGACAATGAGTAACAGGGGTCTGAGGATGGACCCTTGCGGCAATTCAGAAGTTATGGCAGGCTCTTCAGGTGATTGAGAATCAATGAGCACAAACTGCTTTCTTCCCGTGAAGTAGTTCTTAAACCATGGAAGGCTTTCGTCACATATACCATAATACTCTAATTTTCTAAGCAAAATGTCATGGTCAACTGTGTCGAAAGCCTTTGCCAGGTCAATAAACACAGAACCAGTGACTAAGCCCTTATTCATATTCATGAGAATCTCGTTGGCGAAATAAGTTACAGCCGTCTCAGTTGGGTGCATTCTTCTAAAACCGGAACGTCCCTATTAAATGTCCCCCGGGAGGTTTAGAGTCATCTAAAGAGTACAACAATTTTAAAAACTTTTACTCTATCGTGCTAATGGGGATGGTCGATGCCAAGTACAGGTTTATGTGGGCAAGTTGTAGGTATCCTGGCAATTCACACGACTCAATCATCATCGTGCAATCAACTACGTTATGGTTAGAAATAGCACAGGGTAAAATTCTTCCAGGGATTGCTAAAAATGTTGGCGGGGTTGATGTACCTCCTTTAATAGTTGGTGACTCAGCTTTTTCCTTTCAGACCTGGCTGATGAAACCATATACCAATGTGGTCCTCACTGAAAAACAGAAATACTTTAACTACCGCCTAAGTAGAGCAAGGATGGTGAATGATCAGCTCAAGGAGCGATTGCGAGTTCTATTTCGAAGGAATGATTGTAGTCAGAAGATGTGCGGAATGTAACAATGGCTTGTATTGTACTACACAACGTATGCATAAATCATGGAGACTAACTGTCAGGAAAAACGGATTTAACAATAGAGCATTTTACAGTTCCGACGCCATATTGGATTAGTAACCGCGCACACATGATAACGAGGCTGGGGTTGACACGGCGGTTCTTTTAAACAGCTGATCTGCTAACATTTCGCGTCTTAATGCGAGTTCTCCCTTCAAAATGGTTCTTAAATACAACGATATATAAATTTCGTCTTTAGATGACATGCAGAAACTCAAAGCAAAGAGATCTCAGGGAAATTTTAAGGTCTAATTCAGAATCGACAGGTGGAATGAGAGCCGACGTAGTGATGAAAGTTTATGCTTTGCTGATGCGACATGTCTTTCCATCGAGTGGTGGAGAAAACCAAGAACTTCTTACTGATGTCCAGGACCTAGAACATAAGCAAAGCGACTTTAAATACGAAGCAACTATGGTAAGGATTTCAGCCCTTGGATGGTCGAGCGATCTCCGTAACTTACCCAAGATGAATTTCATTCAGCTCTACGATTACCTCGTTGTTTCCACACGAAAGTATCGCCACATCGTGTTGAAAGGAACGCATTACAAAAAGTTGAAATCTTATCAGTGCTTCTTTGAAGGAAACGTGAAAAAACTGGAGAGTAAAGTCTTTGAAAACAAAACATATGTTAAGGCAAATGTTCTCCCCTCTATGAAGAAAACGCCTTACAGAGCTATTCTCGAGTTCTCACCTACCTACGATGTGCTACTCGCAGCGTGTACGTGCCCTGCTGGCCTCGGTCTCTGAGGAAAAGGAAAATACAACCACATCGGAGGAGTGCTGTTTGCTATCGAGGATTTTATAAGAAGAGGGTTACAAAATAACTCAGAGCCATTAACCTGCACATCACGGCTCTCAGTGTGGGTGATACCGCGCAATCAAAGTGTAGCAGCGAAGCCAATCGATTCGGTAAGAAGAACATAAGAACCCAGCCAAAAATAATAAAGTTTGGTCCTAGGGCCCCAGACATGAGAACACGTGATGAGACTAGCTTCAAAAAAACTCTGCGAGAACCTCCAAAACTGCTTGCCCTCAAGTTCCTTCTTTCTCTTCCATGGTATCAAATCTAAATGCAGAGGCATCACCTTTCAATCAGCCTCAAACAATTGACAGATCGATCCACAGGAAGTACCCTCTACTGACAATTATGACATTGCAACGCACAGGTTTAAAAGTATTGTAGACGAATATGTTGCAAATTTAACAGCCACCAGTGAAGAGATTATTGAAACTGAAAGGATCACAAGGGGTCAGAAGAAAAACCCCTTGTAGATTGAAAAACGAAAATCGCTTCTAACACCTTCAAATTTCGGTAAGGCCGCCAAAACCAAAGTTGAACCTACAAAAAAACTTAAGGCAATGCTCTATTCGAATTTTACCACTGAAGCTGTTCAGTATAGTATAGAAAGCAAGGCAAAGGCTATAGCCCTCTATGTCAAGGAGATGGAGCAGGAAGGAATCACTGTTAAAGTGGATGAAGTTGGACTTTTGCAGTCTAAAGATAAGCCCTTTTTAGCAGCAAGCCTGGATGATAACAAACCTAACTACCCAGGAAAAATGGGGGATAGAAATTAAATCACCATTAAGCAAAGTGGGCATGAGAGTGGAAGATGCATGCAAAAGTAAAACCTTCTTTCTGAACTTAGTGATGGAACAATTAGACTAAAAAGAAACCATGATTATTATATTCAAGTTCAGGGCCAACTTTATGTTGCTAAAGACTTAAATATTGAAAGTATTCATGTTATTGTGTACTTTGGTGAGGAAATGCCTCTTTTCAAAGAGAAAATTCTTATGGAAAGCCTTCGCTGGAATCAAGAACTCTTACCTAGACATGAATTTTTTTTTCAAAAGGGCTCTCTATCCTGAAATGCTAACCAAAAGGGTTGAAAGAGGCAAACTTTTGTACTTCCATGGTGGGTGGCAGCCATATGGGCAATATTCATGTTCAGCAAGTGGACTGAAGTTAAGATTTAGCAGGGCCTATTAAAACCTTTGAATTCTGAAACTCCCGTAAGTGATCAAAAGAGAATTTCTCGTTAAAATATCAATACAATATCAAACAGAAAAGGAAAACTTAAAATAGGGAATTACTAGTTGATTCAAAACCAAATT